TATTTTTTAAGCTATGAAGTCTGTTACATCCCCTGCACAGGAGCTGGATGGTGTTGTGGCATAAACACCTTATTAGAAGCAGTTGTGAGGAGCTGAGTATATTTCCAGAGACCCACTCGGCACTCACATGACTCAGGCATGCAGGGTGCTTGCTGGTGTGCATGTAGCATGTGAGAAGGAGGTTCCCCACATGCTCGGCCCAGGGAATAGAGTGAGTGTGGTGGGTGGCCTTCAGGTTTTGAAGAAGACACTTATCTGCTTCCTAATGATAGCAGGTGCTGGCCTGGGCCCTGGGTCCAGCTGTCCAGGTGACAGCATCTCTGACGTGGCTCCAGGTGTTGTTCTGGTTCACGCTGTCAGGTGCCAGCTCACGTCAGCTGGGCTTTACAGGCCTCTGTGAAACCGGCTTCCACCTAGTTTAGAATTGCTTCTGTGTCCCTGTGGCCAACACCAGTGGGAGACAGATTGGGCTGTCAGACCCCTAGGAGGGTTGGAGTGACACCCCCCTAGGCCCTGCCCCCTGGTCTCTGGAGGGGCCACGTCCCTGGACCTCCATCCACTCCAGGAAGGGTACCAGGTCACCAGGCTCGAGCCCAGGACAGGGGACAGCACCTCCCTGTGCACCTGAGCAGTGCTCTGCCCCAGGAGGGGAACCATCAGGTAATGAGGGTGGATCTGAGGATTAGCAGTGTCTCGTAGGTGACACCTGTGGTTAATGCCCCTTCTCCAAGGAAAGGAAGGGAGTGAACCAGGAGAACATTCTTGCTGAGGTCCGGGCCCCTCCCCTTTGAGAACGGGGCCTTGGAAGGTCTCTCATTCAGGTCCCGATACTTGCAAATCAAGGAGTGGTTTCCTAGTGTTAAATCACTCAATTTCCAGGGCACCACTCATGCTCCAGGGAAGGCCTAGCAGGAGGAACAAGACTGTGAGGGGGCACTTGGGGGGGTGTCGGTGGAGCCGACCGAGGGTGTTGTGCCCACTCTGGGGGCACCAGAGCTGTCCGTGCTGGCCTGGCACCCACCGAGGAGGAGATGGGGGCCCTCGGACCCACCACAGCAGCCCCCATGGCACCTGTGGCCGTCTGCAGAAGGCCTTTACCCCCTTCCCTGAGTAGACAGTCTGCTCATTGATGGGTCGTGGTCGCCAAAGCTGGTTCGGACATGCGCCTTCGTCTGTGAAGTGCCCACACATGTCCTGTCTGCAGCTTCCAGAGCACAGCAGTCCAGCCGTCTGAGAGCCAGGAGGCAACTCCCAGGGGAGAGGGGCCCAAGTTAGCAGAGAACAAACGAACCAGGTGCCAAATCAGGACGCATGACCAAAACCCGAAACCAGCAACAAAAAGGCGTCTGCCCACCCTGGGCTCCCGTGGTGATGCTGGGCGGGCCCTGCTCCATCAGTTCTCTGGTCCTCGGCCTCTGCCCCGAGATGGGCCCCGGGTTGGCTGCACCAGGGCGGTGCTCCTGGTAACGAGCTCACAGGATGGTCCTCAGGGCAGGGGCTTTGCCCCCACCTTCCTTTCGTCTGCACCAGTGAAGGCACCTGAGTCCGGGCATCGACAGCTGCCCACTCTGCATGGCCTCCTGCCACTTTCCTGACAGATGGGGCTCTGCTCCTGGGGCTCCCACGGCTGAAGCAGGGCAGGCCGGTGGATCCCAGGGTTGTCGCCTTAGGGGCAGGAGTGTGCAGGTGCAGGGGGCTCTCTGAGGACATTAGTGACCCTCCTTTCCTGTGGTAGAGGCCCGCAGGGGTGCGTGCCCCAGTGATCAGTGGCTGAGTCATGGCCCGGACCTGCCTTACTTTCCCCAGATCTGCTCCTGCCCACAGAAGGTGCAGGTGGGGGTGGGAAGGAGGCATGGAGACCGTAGGCCGAGGGTCTGGATGCTCAGCCCGACCACGGGAAGCGCTAGTGTGTGCCCCTGCATCTGTGCCCAGGGGAGCCAGGTGTGAAGGGCCTGGACAGCAGCAGGGAGCACGCTTTGGGAGAGACAGGCCAGGCTTTGAGGGGACTGTGGGCAGATGACCGACCTTTCTGAGCCCGTTTCCCCTGTGGGAAGGGAGTGCGTGCCTGGCAGGGCTGCCCGGACTCCAGGTGGTGCACGGAAGGTGCACAGTCACCTGTTCAGCAGCGGGCAGCTCCCCTGTGACCGCAGGAGTGAGACCGGGCAGCGTATCGGGGATTTCACGGCGTCTTATTTGCTGCTCTGGGAACTCAAAGAGGAAAAGCAGTCAAGTCACAGAAAATCCAAGTGTGAGAGGACTTAGTTTTTGTGGAAAATCGCCACTGGAGAAGGGTAACATGTTATTAACATGGACCATACAATCCGTGTGCTGCTGGTTCTGTTCTAGCTTTATCTGTCCACAACACTAAACTCTTCTTGATTTAGTAGCATTATTGACTCTCGCTTCTGAGAAAATTAGGTGAGGATGCTCTTGGTTTCTGAGAACCTTCCAGTTGCTTTGTAGAAGATCCAGAACCACCGCTTCTGTTCACGTGGCCTGTCTGAGACAAAAACTGTTGGGTTTTTTGGTGAGAGGATTCATTTCACGTGGATTTCTTTCTTGCATTGTTGTCCGGTCCAAACCTCTCTGTTATGTCAGTGTGCGTTTGCATCAGTCTCGGGCCTCTGCAAACACCCCGAGGTGAGGGGAGGGAGTTCCCCCAGTCCCTTTGTCAGGTGAGCAGAGTGGGCCAGGAGGGTGAGGAGGACATGGGTGGTGGGGCAGGGTGGGCTAGGTCCCTCGGTTTTTAGGCCACCTTCCCTTCTGCAGCGGCATTGCCCTGGAGGGGACACCCTGGGAGTGGGAGGGACCAGGGGCAGGTACTCAGTACGTGTGGGCCTGCAGTTTCCAGCCAGCCAGGGCGGCAGGGACCCACTCACACCGACCGTTTCCACCACAGAAGAAGAAACCCTTCCTAAACGCCTCTGGGGGGTGGTGGGCGTGAGAAGCAGAGCCGGCCTGGCTGCTCACGGGAGAGTTGGATCCGTCTCCGCTTCACAACGGGAAAGAAAGAGACGCCAAGATGGTGACAAGATGCTGCTCAGTGCTCGGAGGAAATGAGGGGGAAGCGGAATTGGAACAGAAAGGGTTCAGTGTGTGTCTGTGTGTATCTGCGAGTGTCTGCGAGTGTCTGCGTGTGTCCGCGGGTGTGCACGTGTGTTCTGAAGCTGGTCTGCGAGGAGGGAGGGAGAGCGGGGCCCGCTTGGGGAAGAAAGTGTGTCCGAGTCTGAGCCCAGGGCAGAGCCGAGTGTCTCAATGTCTTTTTCTTTCTCTCCGTGATTTATGGTCATCATTACTGTTAGTGGGTGGCTGATGTTTAAAATGAAATATGGCCTTTCCTGATTTTAGAGCAAAGAACAACACAGATTAGCAGCAATTAGCATGTTGCGGGGCGTGGGGAACTGCACACCTCCAGCTCTGGTGGTAAATGAACGGAAGCACCGCGGGCGTGGGTCTTTCTGAGCAGCCTTCGCCCGTCCCCTGGAATGGACCGGATGGGGTACCGATAACGGCCCCTGTTCCACCGTTGAGAGTCAAGAGTTAATTGTGATGCAAACCTTGTTCCCGGCACGTCGGATTGTCACCCCAATGGAAACAGGATGGAAAGGGAATAAGGCTTTCCCGCTGCTTTTTCTCTCAGCCTGTCCACTGCCATTTCTTTGTGACGGACAGAATTCTAAACAGGAGGGAGCCCCGTCTCTGGGTCCTGCGGCACTGACAAGGGTTAGCTCTGGACTTCTGCGACGCAGCCCCCTGGGTGGCTCACACTGAGTCACCGAGGTCCGCTGGCTTGGCCCTGACGCTCCTGCTCCCAGTGCTGAGACTGGCCAAGCGAGTGACTTTCTCAGGGTGACTGCTTTTGGAGGAACCAGATGGGAGTCAACCTCCCTAACGCTCAGCTGTGCAGCGTCCCTATCTGGCTGTTTGCCCTTTCCTCTGCCGCCTGCAGGGCTGGGAGTGCCGGTCCTCCAGTGAGAAGTGACTGTGTGGAGGGAGGATGGGGCCGAGCTGGGGGCACAGGTGAAGGAGGTGAGGACAGGTTGAAGCGAGACCGACAGAGGAAATGCTGTTTTCCATGCAGCGACGTTTCAGGAAAATGGGACCTTTGTTTCTCCAAGTTGCAGGGAGCTTCCACAGGCCTTTTGAGTTGATCCTTACTGGGTGGACGGGGGTTTGCCGGTTGGATAATAGGAATGAGGACTTGTGCGTTGGCAGGAGAACGCTCTTGGTGTTGCCAAAAGGCACAGTGCGCTCCGCAAACATCAGGCGTTGGCGGCTCAGGGCCCTCACGGCGGTGGGTGCGAACATGGTGTCTGGGCCCTGGGGTGGGCCCTCCTCTGAGTGTGGAGGGCCCCCCACTGCTGTTCACCCTCGCCTGCCTGCCTGCCTGGCTCTCCCACGGGCGGGTTTGCCCCATCCTTTCTCTGCACTCGAGACGTGCTAGGACTCAGCAGAGTGGCCACCTTCTCCGGCCGACCCCAGCAACTCCACTGTGGCCAGCGTGTTTGCCGCCGCTCCCACGCTGCATTCTGTCTGTCCTTACAGCACGCAGAGACCTCCCTCTGCCCCTCTTTCTGTCCCTGGAACACCAGCAGGCTGTGGTCCACACCAGGTGCGTGTGCGGTGGGCGGTGGCGCAGAAGGCCTGCGGTGGTGCCGACGGAGCCCCGTGGGTCTGGCCCCTGGCAGCTGTGCCAAGGGGGGGTCTGCAGAGGTGCCCCCCTCACACCCCAGCTGCTCACACGGAAGGTCCCCGAGGGCAGACGTCGGAAGGGACAGGCTGTGTGCGAGTGCCCTCCCGAGAGAGAAGCTGTCCTCTCACCGACTCAAGCCAGGGGTGTGTGCGGCTTCCGAATGTCCCAGCATCCTCTCAGAAAAGCCAAGCGCAGAGGCCTGTGTCTTTGGGACTGGGGAGCTGGCTGACGTTGCGGCCTCTGGCCGACGAGGTATCAGCGATACCTGCAGCTCTGACTTTGCTCTGTTTTCTGTTTTTCCTCCCAGGCTGCTTACTGGAAGACGGCCTTTGCAGACCGTCCGAGACCTGTGTCAACGGTGAGTGTGCGGCCCCAGCGGATACGCGGCTGTGGGGCGGGTTTGCCTTATCCCTCCCATCCAGGTGACACCCAGGACAGGGGCCCCGTGTGGAGCAGAGGCTCGGGGTCAGGTTCCTTTCATGTGATGCTCCCGCAGAGCCGTGGAGCTGAACCCTCTCTGCACGTCATTGGAAGGGGAGGCAGCAGAACGTTAGTGGGAGGGGGGTGCGTTCTTTCTGTGCACAGGTGTGTGTCTGCTTCTGTGTCGGGGCCGGCACCCAGTGTTTCAGGGCGGCCCCTGAGAGCTCCTTGACAACAGGGGGTGGACCTGGAGCTCTGATGACGGCTGGACGGGATCCACCCGCCATCCACATCCCCGGGCACCGAGCCTCCCTTCCTCCGACCTCCCACTTCCCCACTCCTCTGGGTTCTCTGCCAGCAGGCAAGCTTGTCATCCTGCCGGTCGTTTCCCCCCTCTTCATAGGCAAGAGGAAAACGGGGGTGCAGAGCCCCCAAGGCAGGACCTAAGATGCTGCAGCAGGGAGTCCTCCCAGCAGCCGGGCTCCAGACGGGGTGGGTCCACACGCATCCCGCCCAGCGAGTCTCAGGAAGGACGGGTGTGTTTGGGAGGGCTGCCTCTCAGAAGAGGAAGAAAAGCCGGTATCTTAGGCAGCATGCATTGGGTAGTGGCCCTTCGGATGCAAAGGGGAGGGTCTTGGTCCAGGACACCCACCGGGAAAGTCTGGCCAGGGTCGCTTCTCCTTACGTCTGACTGGGTCTGCACCTAGGACCCTGGCAGCACTGGGAAGTGGGTGCGGGCTCTCTTCTCACCCACTGCCCATCCCGGTCCTTTCGGGGGAGAGTGGACTTTGTCGTCGCCTGGATCTTACTCGTGGCGTTTTCGACCTGGCACAGCGCCCCTCACTCCCTCCTGGTTCTCGATGCAGACGTGGCTGCCTGCGGGGACGGCCGACTTTCAGGGGCAGCTGGTCCCTGGGACCCTTTCCTCAAGTCCTGGGGGCCCTCCCTGAGTGAGGCACCACTTGAGGGCACGAAAGGCAACGACCGGGCACCTTGAGAAGCTCAGTGCGAACAGTCCCGGGTCCGAGGCCACTGACTTCTGAGCTGTATCCTGGGGGGAAATTGCTGACAGTTCTGGGCGGTTCCTTTTTCTTCGTTTGGGGGGAGCTTCTGTGCAGAGTGCGGTGAGCAGTGATCACAGAACTCGGCCTGCGGCCGCCTTGGTGCTGCCCGCCACAGGCAGCGTTCTCGCTCCTGGACGGCGGCTCGTGCCCACACCACTCGGGCTCCTGCGGCTGGACCTTCAGGAGCTTTTATTTGGAGACTTCTTTAAATAAATAATTTTATTAAAAAATACTTAATGTGCCCGCAGTTAAGTTTGAATATGAAGGAAACGGGAGTGTGTGTGTGTGTTAATTTGACTGCAGACGCACGCGGCTTGGCAAGGTACAAGCCACTGCTCTGTCCCCTCCCCCTGTCCTGGACAGAAAACAGGCCCGGGTCCCGTGACCCTCCGAGGCCTCTCCCTCCCCTCACCTCCTCGCGCCTCCCTGACATGGAATTACATTGATGTTACATAAGGTAATAGCTTTGAATTCTTTGGCAAAGGAAAGCAATTTAAATGTAAATATAAACACACAGGCCTTGATTTATGGAGACAGGCAATGTTTATTTATTCTAGTGCAGCTGAGGGCTGGCTAGGGCAGAGGAAGCTGGCCTTGTCCAATCCCACAAAGTCGTGTGCAGTGCGCAGCTGACGGCAGTGATAAAAGCAGTGCTGCCTGGATTCTCGGTTGCCATGGGTGACAGCATGACTCAGCCTGGCAGCGGGTGGGGCAGGAGGAGTGGCCAGGACACTGCATGGAGTCCAGAATGTTCTGTGGTCAGACACAGGATTCCTCTCTCTCTCTGTCTCCCTGCGCTGCCCTTCCTTTTCTTGGGATAGAGGTAGAAATACATAATTCTGTTAACCTTACATATGTTTTCAAAAGCCCAGCAGACCTCATCTGTGACAGTTAAAATGAAAATGGCTGCATGGGATAAGGTACAGTTACTCTTCAGTGTCTGCAGGGGGTTGGTTCTGGGACCCTGTGGACACCAGGATGCCCGAGTCCCTGGTGTAAATGGGCTAGAACATGCAGTTGGCTCTCTGTGTCCCCGGGTTCCCAGTATCCCAACTGCAAGTGGAAAATCCTATTTTCCATCCCTAGTTGCTTGAATCCACAGATGGGGAACCCAGGGATACCGAGGGCTGACTGAATATTGAAAAAAAATCTGAGACTGTGTGGACCCACGCAGCTCAAACCGTGTTGTTCAAGGGCCAGCTGTATTTTATAAAGAAAGTCGAAAGATAAGCCTGCCACGTCCCACGCATCAGGGTGGCGACTGTAACGAACAAACACAGAAAACGAGTGTGGAGAGGACGTGGAGAAATCGGGACCCGCGTGCACTGTGGGTGGGAATACAAAGTGGTGCTGCTTCTGAGGAAAGCATTTTGACAGTCCCTCAAAAAGCTAAACATGGAGTTGACCTTGTGATCCAGCAGTCCGAGCACATACTTAGAAGAATGTGAAGCAGGGACCGAGGGTGTGTGCGCCAGTGTCCGCAGCAGCTCCTGAGTGGAGCAGCCCGGCTTTCGCAGCGGGTGGATGGACAAGCACAGCGTGGCCTGTGCGTGCTGTGGACTGTCACCCAGGCTCAGGAGGAAGGGCTCAGGAGGAAGGGCGTTCTGACACGGGCTGCAACGTGGATGGACCAGAAGAGGTCACGCTCAGTGACATAGGCCGGTCACAAAGGACACATACCGTGTGACTTCCTTTTGTGGGGTCCCAGGGGTATGCAGACCTCCCCGACTGTGCTTCGCAGATGCTGTTTTCATTGACCTCGAGGGAAGACCCCCATCAGCAAAAGGGTTACAACTCTCTGAAGGCTCAGGTGATGTCAGCAATTTTTAGCAATAACATATTTTTAACTAAGGTGTGCACATTTTAAAACACAGTGCTATTTCACACTGAACAGACTACACTATAGTGTAAATGCAACTTTTGTATGCACTGGGAAACCAAAAAATGTGTGCAACTTGCTTTATTGCTTTGCTTTGTTATGGGGGTCAAGGCTGGACCCACAGAACGTCCGAGGGAAGTGCACCTGCAGTCAGATTCATAGAGACAAAAAGTAGACACTGGGGGTCAGGTGCGGGGGGTGTGTAATGGGGACAGAGTCCCGGTGTGGGAAGACAGGAAGCTCTGGCGACGGTGGTGGGGATGGCTGCACAGCAATGGGGAGGTGTCCAGTGCCACTGAGCTGTGCCCTTGAACACGGTTCAGATGGCACATTTGCTGTTATGTGTGTTCTACCACAATTAACAGAGGGAAACGGCCTGGAGAAACCATTAACAACAAGGGTGTGTATTCTTAATTGCAAAGGGCTCCTACACATTATAAGAAAAAGGCAAAGAATTCAACAGGAAGAAGGGCAAAGATGTGAATGGTAAATGGCCTACATAATGTATGAAAATGTGTTTACCCTCAATAAGGGGAATGTAACTGTAAGCCATACCATAGATTACCAAAATTGAAAACATGAGAACCCACGGCAGTAGGCACTTGACGTATTTTGCTAGTAAGAATGTAAGTTGTGAATAATCGTTAGGAATGTAACCTGGCAATATCAATTAAATGAAAAATATATTGATGGTTAGATTTATTTTGGGGACTCACATGTATAAAAGCAAAGGTGGCCCCAAACTGTAACAACTCCTGCCAGTCCACTGAGAGGAGAATGGTGTCATAAATTACGGCGGGCCTATGGTATGGAATATTACACAGCTACTTAAAAATGAGTTAGATGTCTATTTCCCAACCACAAAAGTGTCCGTGCGTGAGAAGCCGCAGGACTGATGATGACATTCTGGGAAAACCCTTACACGCAGGTATATTTCCCTCCCTGTATGGCCAGAAGGGGGTGTGAATCTGCTCCCTGACATCTTTGGGCAGTTTGGAGAGGGCATTGGGGGCGTTATTACCTTATGCTTAAATATTTTGGCATTGCTTTCTTTCTTTAAAGCAGTCTCATGCTAGTTGTCATAAAACTAGTCTAATAAAGACACTTCCGAGTCTGCTGAGCTGGTTCTGTAGGCAGGTCTGTTAAGGCCTGCTGCCTCGGGCCCTGACCTGCGTGGGTCAGAACTCCAGCCAAGCCCCCGCCCTCTGGCAGGGGACAACCTGGGAGCCCTGAGACCCCTGTTCTAGACGCAGAGGGAGGCTTTGTGGTGGAAATGTTTGGGCACCTGAGGTGGTTGGGCAGGTGGACAGATGGAACCTGGAAGGTGGTCTGTCCACCGGCATCTTTTGGGGCAGTTTGGGGTTAGAACCGGGCAGGTAACCGGGCACAAAACTTCTCAGTAAGTCCAGTGAGGGACAGACCTGGGGGTCAAGAGGGGAGTGAGCACACTGGGGCTTGGGGAGGGGTGGCAGCCGGTCCCTCCAGGACAGCTGCTCCAGCTCTAGGAAGCAGCACCCAGCGGTGGATCAGGTGGCTCATTGGGCCTCGCTGGGTGTAGAGGGCCCTGAGGCCACATCCTGGGAGAGGTGGGCCTGGGGTCCGGTCTCAGGCCACATCCCCTGCCACTTCCCTGTGTCAGCCCTGCAGGAGGGACCGGGGACGTGGCTGCTGGTCCTCCTTCCTTTTTCTTCTCTTCTAAAGCTTTCTTGAGGTCTAAATGAAGCAGATGAAATTAGTATTTTTATTAGATGTTCTCAGAACATTTTTTTCTGTGTTTATGTTTAGCGAACACAAGCTGAGTCTGTCAAAGTGCTGGTTGCGACCTGCTGGGGTACCTAGCACGCTGTGGCAAATTTGATAAACAGAGTTATCCTGTTTTATTGCACTGGAGGAAATATAATAATAAGAAGCTTTAATTTGACAAGTGGGAGACTATGGAAAAATACAGTCGGTTAGAAAAGGAGATTAGGTAGCAGCAATAAAGTCTACACCCTG